GCATCCCAATCCCCCCACCTGGCTTTCTGTGGTGGCCTGAGCCAGGGAGGGGCCTAGATGCCTCCCCAGCGGCCCTCGTCCAGCAGCCCTAGTGATCCCATGAATGGGTCACTCAGGGTCCCCCAGAGAGCTGTCAGGTCTCGGCCCTGCGTCTCCCAAGTCCACTACTACACGCCGTACTATGTACTCCTCCAGCCCTGAAAGATCAGCTTGTGGGTGGCTTGAAGTGTGGTGGCCTGAGCCAGGGAGGGGCCTAGATGCCTCCCCAGCGGCCCTCGTCCAGCAGCCCTAGTGATCCCATGAATGGGTCACTCAGGGTCCCCCAGAGAGCTGTCAGGTCTCGGCCCTGCGTCTCCCAAGTCCACTACTACACGCCGTACTATGTACTCCTCCAGCCCTGAAAGATCAGCTTGTGGGTGGCTTGAAGAGGAGGATCCTCGGCTCCCAGTTCAGCAAAGTCCATCTCAACAGAAGGCTTCGCAGCGGCTCTCTCCTGCAACCACAAACACGCATCAGGCGGTGTTTACACAAACAGGTTTATTCACAGTCTAGGGAAATGTTTTGACGTGCTTGTTCCTCAGCTGCAAATGCAGCCGGTGACCTGCAACCTTCTCACTTGGAAGCGTAATGATTTTATGGTCAAACAGGTACGGCGCCCGTGGGCCACCTGAGCTCCCAAGTTTGTAATGTTTTCAACCTGCCAGGGGCACGATATTACAAATAGGAAGAAGCCGACAAATGTCAAAACAGGCGCTTTAGCAGAATTCCTTGCATGGAAGAAAAAAGAAAAGAAACATTCAGTTCATGGTAACCATAAATATGTACACTCACACCCACACACAATACTGACTTAGGAAGAAAGAAAGCAGGAGTAGGAAGAACATCAATGTCTTTCATGGCACAGAGTGTCCAAATCCACCTTTCAAGTGGAGAACAAACAGAAAGCTCTTGTATGTCAAGTCCTGGAAGGCTTGGTTACTGGTCCAAAATCCTCGCTCATCAGCCGCTTGGGAAGTGGCCTTACTCGTCCGAATCCAGATCACTGTCTCCTCCAATGGAATGGAAGTCCTCACTGTCTTCCTCATCTTCTGACAGAGGAACCTGACTTAACACACTGGGACCACACCGCTGTTCCTCTTCTTCTTCTTCCTCCTCCTCGTCCTCTTCCTCAGAGATTTCGTAGCCCGCCATGCTACTGAAACTGGTATCTCGAGTATTGGACTTTGGGCCGGGTTCCTCATAGCTGCCGTAACTGAAAGGGGAAGAGAGAAAAAGAAGCTTCCTTATTTTTCCCGAGTGCCTTGCACTTCAAGGAGAGAAAGCCGATGGGTGGATGGACGGGTGCCGGAGCAAGGCGAATGCGGCGCCTCACGCAGAAATGAAGACACGAGAGTCACCTTTGTGCTTTCTTGCACAATGTCATTTCAGCAGAAATAATATCTCTGCACAATTTGCACCCACCACCCCTTGATGTATATCTCTGCTGCACCATAAAAAACCCAAACCCTACCACCAAAGCACAAAAACATGCAGCTAGGAAATGATCATTCTACTCACAAGATACCACACTGCTGTTATTGTGCAGAATGTGATTGTGTAAGCGTTGCAGGGAAGAGAACCTGATGTGTACAACACCAAGAGACCAAGATGCCCTGCACCGACCAAGTACTGTATCTAAATATCTGTCTATGGTCTTTTTTGAAATCAGAATAAGCCACTTCTGAGCAATGATCAAATGCTGTTGAAAAATCTACCTTGGGTACCATCCCATGTGGCAATCTCAATGCTTTATTCTCTCTCTCTCTGTAGACTTTTTTTTTTAAAAAAATCTATAAATCTTTAAAAACAAATAAAAAAACACATTGAAGAAAAGGAAACACTGGTCCAGGTTACACTGACTGTAACTAGGATTGTAACTCATTTCTGCAAGGAAACCAGGCTCCTATTCAGCTTTTATGTATTTCTTTAGGTTTCAGTTTGGTGACATTAATTAGGTCTAGCAATGGCACCATGGCTCTCCCACTGGTGTTCAAGCAACAGAGCCAAAAGGAGGGTTCCCCTCCAGCTGTGGCACGGCCATCCTTCTTTTGGGAGAGAGAGAAAGACAGACAGAGAGAGACATTCTCCCTAGGGATTCTTCCCCTTAAGGCTCCCACCAGAAAAGGTTCGCCCAGAGTTACCTGGCATTGCTGTCCTCCATGGCGTGTGAGGTCTCCCCTCCAGCTCCCTCATAGGACATCATGCTCTCTTCGTTATCCATGCCCATCCGAGTATTCTCCTGAAGCACGTGAGGCTGCTTTGGTCTCATGGCCCCAGGCTCAACATCTGAATCACTCCCACTTTCGCTCAGCTGAATCGCTGGGTGATGACAGGGAAGAATCACCCGTGAGACGCTTCCTCTCTTACAAGCAAAAACTTTCTCCTCTTCGTCAACACAGCCAACTCCCACAACATGCATCTCCGCAGCAGCATTACAGTAATATATATACAGTAATTCACCCATCCATCCAATAAATACATTTTCATCCTGCGTGGTATATTCTAGGTTTGCTCCAGTGATTGCTTGATCCACATCTCCAGCTGGTGGGCACCAAGGGTCACCCATTTCACTGGCCTACAAACTATTTTATCAAGTTGTGGAGGCAGGAGGGAATATTGCCCTGGTCTCTGTGTCCTGGACATGCAACGGAGACTCAAATGGACAGGAAAGGGGAAGCTGCCTCCTGAATCAGTCTGCTTAAAGGTTCCCCCTTGACATTTAGTCCAGTCGTGTCCGACTCTAGGGCGCGGTGCTCATCCCCGTCTCCAAGCCATAGATCCAGCGTTTGTCCATAGACACTTTCTGTGGTCACGTGGCCAGCGTGACTAGACAAAGAACGCCGTTACCTTCCCACCAAGGTGGTACCTATTTATCTACTCGCATTTTTACGTGCTTTTGAACTGCTAGGTTGGCTGAAGCTGGAACGAGCAATGGGAGCTCACTCCATCGCGTGGATTCGATCTTACAACGGCTGGTCTTCTGACCTTGCAGCATGGAGGCTTCTGCGGTTTAACCCGCAGCGCCACCCACATCCCTTCAGTCTACTTACTGGTCTCTCTAACCCAGTCCCATAAGCTCCAACTTACAGTTGCAACTTGCCAGTGTTTCAGGCAGGATTATTTCCTAGCCTCAGTTGGAGAGCTCTAACACTCCCTGGAACTTTTAAAGGTGTTTTTCATTGGGTTTTTTAAAATCAGTTTTAAGGAGTGTATTCTCTTCTTCTGGTTGTGCATTGCTTTGAGGGTCCCACACAGGCTCAGAAATAATAAATAAATGAATAAATGATAAATATTATTCTCCTGAGGCCTCTCATCCTGATATTAGCCACACCTGACCCTGTCTAGCTTCTGACATCAGACGACTTCCGATGCGTTCAGGACGGCACGCTGGTCTCAGAAAAGCAGCCTGATCCTAAGTCACACCATTGACCCATCGAGTAGTTTTGCCTGGATTCACGTCACGCTTGTTTCTACGGGCAAAGAAGTGGCAACTTACACGAGAACGGGTTATCGCCTTCCTCGTCGCTGCCGTCGTCGTCCTCCCCGTCCGACATGAGCAAGTCCTCATAGAGCACGCTGGCCTGCGGTGGCTGGGCCGAGCCCTCTTCCTCGTCAGCCAGGTCCCTGTCGCCGTCTTCCACTTCCTGCCACAGCAGAACGTTCAGGGGTACAAAAGGAGGCCAGGAGGCGCTGGCGGGCGAAGCACACCTCTGGCTGTCCACTGACACCGTTCACTGGCAAGGCCGCCTCTTTCTAAAAGTGGAAGGGTCTAGCTCGCATCCCACACGCTGCTGCTAGCGTCACTCCGAGGAGCCCTGCACTGCACAGCTTCTGCCCCAAGAGCAGAAGGTCAACCAAGACACTAAAGATGGGATCAAAGATACTCACTGGGGCCGGAGTCTTAGGTTTCCCATCCTCATCCTCATCAAACCCTTCAATATCTACGTCAGAGTCTTCCTCGCCCAGCCTACCTCGGCCCTGCCGGATCTGAGTGAGGAACACAGAGACAACACGGTTGAGGCACGAACAGCCACGGACGAGACAAACGCTCTCTGAGGCAGGCAAGCCGTCCCACCACAATGGAAGAAATCCACCACGGCTCTGTGACACTTCCCTGCCTGTCCCGAGAGACTGCCCGGCGCAAAGTTCTTCCTCTCCGACAGAAATGCCTGTCTACACTCCTCCATGGCATCACGCTCAAAAGGGCGAGATTGCATTGCAACCTCTGAAATGCTAGGTCTCTGTTAGGACACTGTGCGGGAGCCTCCTTTTTCTATGGACACACGATTCCCTGGTCTCTCTAGAGTCTCCTCCCTGGAAGGGCAGGTGCCAGGGGTGGGAGTGGAAAGTCACACCCAGCAGGCAAAACCTACCTGTATCCCACTCATGACACAGAAGTAACACAGGACGATTTGCTAATTCCTGCTGAAGGCAAACTTCCAGCGTCTGGGTTTGGCTTTTGTTTTTTGGGAACATTCACTTGACATTTATGCATCCCTCTCTCCCCGTCCCCCATACCTTTTCTGGTCCAGATCATTCCACATGTATGCCTGACACACCAAGAAACAAACCGCAGAAATATGTTTCGACCAGGTGATCCAGGACCCGCTTGCCTGCCGGCCAGCCTTTTTCTCTGGCCCAGGCCTCTCTGCCATGCGTCTACCAGGAAAGCACCCCCCACAAAGCTACGGCCACAGGACCCATCATCCTCTGGATCTCTAGCCTGGAGAGGCTGAGGCTCCAGGTGACACCAGGGAAGACCAACCAAACACCTGCCCTTCCTCTGGCATCTCGCTGCTCAGCAAATGCCCCTTCCAGAGGCCCACATTCTACAACAGCCTCGACCTCCATCTTCACTGAATAAGCTAAATCAAAGTCAGGAGGCTGGGTTTGCGAGGCGTTTGGCCTCACCTGTTCTCCACAGAAATTCATAAAAAGAACAGGACACACGGCCCTTTTTTGAAGCTTTGTCTAACAAAGCAGTTGTTACAGGCAGGCGCAGACACATGCACACACACACACACCCGCCCCAGAGATCCCAATAATTGCAATTTTACCGAGCAGTCTTACAGGGAGACCGTCGTGAGCGGCACTCCATCTCCATTCTCTTGACTGGGCACAACTATGCCATAAGATGGGCTACCGCCTGCCCGTTGCAAGATTCTGCACAGGTTCTACCAAACACCCGGGGGGGGGGCGCAGGGGACAGAAGCTGCTCCCCTCTAGCCCTCATCCACCCGCCCACTTTTTCACCAGAGATCTTTGAGGCTGCCTCCTCCTCCTCCTCGCCACGGCTCTCACCTGCACTCCTTGCTTCTCAGGGGTGGTCGTGGGAGTGTCCAGGGCAGACAGATTGCTCTCGTCCTGATAGACAGAAGCATCCCGGGACATGCTCAGTGACGTGTTGGTGTCATAGAGATCTGGTGGCTAACATGCGTTTGAGAGGGAGAAGATCCAAGTCACATACACAGAAGGAACCATCAGCCTAGGAAGCTGCTTTACATCGAAACACGGGCTGGCAGCAGCTTTCTTTCTATGCCCTCTGACAGGTTTATTTACCAGTTCTATTGCCACACTCTGCTTTTCCCCCCACTGAGCTCAAGACAACTGCCTATATGTGGTTCTCCTCTTTCCCACTTTATCCTCCCAACAACAGTGTGATGTAGGTCACCCTGACAGACAGGGAATGGTCTAGGGTGAAAAAAAATCTTTTGGAAAGGCTTAATGCAGCGGTTTGCCTGTCCCCCTGCTTAACATGAAGGCAACCCTTTTAATGGCAACATGTAAAACATAATGCATTCTTTCCAAGCTCTGATGCGGACTCACGACAGTCCGGATCCATGGACTGCATTCCTTCCACTGTCATCTGTCAGTTCATTGCCACCCACCCCACCCAAGGGACGTTGCTAGAGGAGGGAAGGAAGGAGGGTTCCCCTTAACAACACGCACAGGAAAAAGGACTGAATAAGGAGTAGCGGCGGGTGCTACATAGTCCCTCCTGCCCTGGATCCAGGACTGCTTGGGGGGGGGGGGTGCATTTGCTCTTTTTCAGAAACAAAGCAATTTATCTGGACTTCTTGCTATGAAGACACGGTCCAAGACAACTCTTCACAGCAGGAAGGGATGACAGAACGACGGGCAAAGCAATGAACTAGTTTCTGCAATGCAGCAGCTGCTGGGCAAACCAACAGCCAGCTCCACATCTTGCAAAGAAGCAGAGCGATTGCTAGGCAACTGCAAATTAGAGCAGGTGCCTCGCTTGAGCCTAGCAAGGCACAGAAAAACCATCTTGCAAATGAGTGTCAGAAGCCAGAAGAGAGAGAAAGGGGGGGGGGTCTTCTACCAGCTTCCGCTGCAGTCCTTGAATCGGTCAGGAACTGGATGGCAGGCTGAAGGTCCAGCTGCTCCGGAGGAAGTCAGGGGCCAGGCCCCAGGAAACTTGTTCCACATCTCTGCCTGGCTAGGGACATGGGGACTGGGCACATCTGTGGAAGGGCTACAGCGGGCTGCGATGGCCGAGGGGAGAAAGCCCTTGGAGAGGCTCCTCCCCATTCCAGAAGCCCTATGCACTCTCCCCAGAGCCTGCTGCTGGGCGAGGTGCTCAAGAGGAGGGAAGGGCCCCCAAGCAGGCCGCTCTGGCCAGGCGCTCACCTGCGGTGTGTAGGGCCCTGGGGTCATTGGGTCCAAACTCTCCAGATCTGCCTCCTCCAGGGCTGCCTCCTTCGCTGTGGAGATGTCCCTCTCCAGCTGGGTCAAGTGCTCGTCATACTAAAGAACGGGCAGAGAGAGAACATGCACTGGGACCCCTCCAGCACTGACGCACCTCTGGGTAGGTGGAGGGCGGCGGGCCGCTTACCTCTGCTAGAGTCTGGTAACAGATGTTGACAATCTCTTGAGCTGTTTTGGTGTACTGGCTGTCCGGCCCTGAAACAAAAAGCAGGTCCTCCCCAGTGGCGGCTTCCTGGTGCCTCAAAGCTCCGTAAATGCCACCGCATAATAAGCAACCCACCCCGCTGTGGCTCCCTTCCATGCCCACAAAGCCAAGAACTGGGTAAGCTTCCCCTTGTGACGTGCATCCTCCTCTCCCGGGCAGATCTGTCTCGCCCAGGGCACTTTGTTACAACCCTCGATGGTATCACTCAGAGACTCTCCTTTCCTAGGAAACTACTTCATTCACAAAAGCAGGCAGATGTTCGCACTAATGTGTCCTTAAGCTTTAAGCTCCAGAACTGTCAAAACAGCCAGTCCTCCCGTCTGTCCAGGCCTGTCTCCAGAAAAAGAGGGGGCCCAGGAAGCCAAAGGAGCAGAGCAGAGATCCCAGAGGGAAAAAGAACTGGCCGCATTTTGGCACAAGAGACTTCGTTCCAAGGTGGAGGCAGAAGTATCTCTGGTTTATCCCTGAGACCCTTCTCAGTCTGAGGGCCGCAAATGGGAGAAAGAGAGAGGCCTCACCATTGTATTTGATGCTGTTGGTGAGGATGAGCTTCACGTCATCCAGAAAGACCTCTCGGTTCTGATACTTGTGCTTGGAGATGTTCTAGAATAAATTAACAGGAGATAAAGCGGGAGCCTGGATCACTGTGGAAACTTCAAGGGAACTTCTTCCACCTTGAGTCCTTTTTAAGGAGAAAGGTGGAATAAAAATACTTTAAATAAATAGTAAAATCAACACTGCAGAGTGCTAAATTTGTTCTACGTGAAGTCCTAAAGGGAGGGAAATCCCCTCCCTACTTGACCTCCTTCCTTGCACTCCAGGGCCCTGGTGGGCCTCTCCCCCCCCCCCTGAGAAGGGGCTCCCTGTCCCAGACGGAACAGCCAACAAGAGAAGATGGCCTTCAAGGACTTGCCCCTTTGTTTGGTTTCCACCCTGATCTATGACATCTAATAGAGACGTGGAATCACCTCCGTCCAGATCACGTGTCCACACAGCAGTTCTATTCTTGATACTTGACCTGGCATTTAAAATACTGCCGCCCATCTGAGAGAAAGGTCAGGGGGCAAGCCAGTCAGGAGGTTTGCGATTTCCCTTCCTAGGAAGCTACTGCATGCAAGCAGGCAGGCAAGCATTTTATTGGTGCTTCCTTGGTTGGGAAGTTTGCTGTGCGTTCAGTCTCGTCGCTTCAAAAGCAACACACAGAGGGAGAGAGTTTTGCTTTCATCATCCTTGTGGAGCCTCGTGGCGCAGCGGTTAAAGCTGCTATTTTGCAGCCGAAACTGTGCTCACGACCGGGGGTTCCATCCCGGGTAGCCGGCTCAAGCCTGCCTCGGCCTTCTGTCCTTACGAGGTCGCGCAAATGAGTACCCAGCTC